TTGCAGAGGGAACTCAGTCTGATGGGGGAGGCACGGCCTGCTTGCAGAGGGAACTCAGTCTGATGCGGGAGGCCTAGTCCACACCTTGGCAGAGTGACTAACTGGTCTGATGGCAGAACCCATTCCTCCTTTCCCTGTGGAGTACCCTAGCCTGATGGAGGGCTCAGTCTGACGGAGGAGGCTTGTCCTTCCTCACTTGAAGGGTCTAAACTACTCTCCTCATTTCCCGCAATATCAATTCCACCCTCTTCTGCTGTGGGTGTGTTGGCTCCATGCTAGCCCAGGAGTCACCCCCCTCCCTCAAGACACCGCGATCTCTACACCATCTGACATCATAGTTTCTTCCGTAACATAAGCTAATATTAACATGACAATTATATGTATCAATATCAACGCAGAATTAATACTACCATGATAATATGATATGATCATATTAACATAATAACATGCATTAATATTTATCAAGCACCCACTGTGCACCAAAGAGCAGTACCAAAACGAAGTGGTCCACGTTCCACCATTTCAGGAGGTAGCATATAATCAAGAACTGATAATATTAAAGGAAGGAAGTCCAAGGCATTGGTGGAAAACAGGGCCCCAGGAATTCACAGAATACCAACTGAGATATTTCAATAAACAGATGCAGCTCTGGAAGTGCTCACACATCTATGCCAAGAAATTTGGAAGACAGCTCCATGGCCAGCCATAACAGACTGGATGAGATCCATATTTGTGCCCATTCCAAAGAGAGGTGATCCAACAGAATGCAGAAATTATCTAACAATATCATTAATATTACATGCAAGTAAAATTTTGCTGAAGATAATTCAAAAGTGGTTGCAGCAGTACATCGACAGGGAACTGCCAGAAATTCAAGCCGGATTCAGAAGAGGCCTTGGAACGAGGGATACCACTGCTGATGTCAGCTGGATCTTGGCTGAAAGCAGACAATACCAGAAAGCCATTTACCTGTGTTTTATTGACTATGCAAAGGCATTGTACTGTGTGGATCATAACAAATTACGGATAACATTGTGAAGAATAGTAATTCCAGAACACTTAGTTGTGCTCATGTGGAACCTGTACATAGACCAAGAGGCAGTCCAACAGAACAACGGGATACTGTATGGTTTAAAATCAGGAAAGGTGTGTGCTTCAGGGTTGTATCCTTTCACCGTACTTACTCAGTCTGTATGCTGAGCAAATAATCTGAGAAGCTGGACTGTAGGAAGGAGAACTCAGCATCAGGATTGATGGAAGACTCCTTAACAACCTGCAATATGCAGATAACACAACCTTGCTTGCTGAAAGCAAAGAGGAGGACTTGAAGTACTTACTGATGAAGATCAAAAACTACAGCCTTCAGTATGGATTACGCCTCAACAAAAAGAAAACAAAAATCCTCACTACCCGATGAATAAGCAACATCGTGATAAACGGAGAAAAGATTGATGTTTTCAAGGATTTCGTTTTACTTGGATCCACAATCAACACTCATGGAAGCAGAGTCAAGAAATCAAACAACATATTGCATTGGGCAAATCTACTACAAAAGACTTCTCTCAAGTATTAAAAAGCGAAGATGTCCCTTTGAGGACTAAGGTGCACCTAACCCAAGCCATGGTATTTCAGTCACCTCATATGCATGTGAAAGCTGGACAATGAATAAGGAAGACCGAAAAAGAATTGATGCCTTTCAATTACGGTGTTGGCAAAGAATATTGGACTGCCAGAACGAACAAATTTGTCTTGGAAGAAGTACAGCCGAAATGTTCCTTAGAAGTGAGAATGGCGAGACTTTGTCTCATGTACTTTGGACATGTTATCAGGAGGGACCAGTCCCTGGAGAAGGACATCATGCTTGGTAGAGGGTCAGCGAAAAAGAGGCAGACCCTCAGCGAAATGGATTGACACAGTGGCTGCAACAGTGTGTTCAAACATAGCAATGATCGTGAGGATGGTGCAGGAGTGGGCAGTGTTGCGCGCTGTTGTACACGGGGTCGTTAGGAGTTGGAACTGACTGGAAGGCACCTAACAACAACTCTGCACCAGGCACTGGCCCAAGAGTGTGGCCTCATGTAAAGAGAGGAGATAGCCCCCATTTCTCAGAGGGGCTCAGGGTGTAAGCTTCCTTCTGAGGCAGGCTGTCCCCCGAGGGGATGAGATGCCCAGTGACCCCAGTTGAGCAAACCCAGCTGAGAGAGGCCACTTCTTGCCGGTCTCCATTAAAAATCCTGGGGTTGCCTCTGATTCAGCCTGGGTCATGTGCTCATCCCTGAACCAATCCTTGGCCAGGAGGATGAAATGAATGTGCTGATTGGCTAGAGTTGGTCACATGTTTATGGGAGCTGAACCCTGGGTCGGCCTCACTTGAACCGCTGGAGGGAGGAGGTTCAGGGAGGAAGGACTCCAATCACGGAGAGTTGAACAAACGTTCAGATGTCCAAATCAGACACAGCTCTCAGAGAGTAAGGGCAACGGCGGGGTTCTGTGTCACTCAGAGTGTCTGAAGGATTCCGCCTTCTGCTTCCAGCAAACCCCTTCCTCAAGCCCCCATTTTACAGAGACGGGAAGTGGCATGTGCCCCATAAATATCTGTGAGAAACCCACAGCAAGTGTAATGTTAATGGCCAAAACATTGAAAGCATTTCTGTTAGAAATGGAAACAAGAAAGAGACGCCCACTATCCCCAGCAGTGTGCAGCACTGTACTGGAGGTCCTGGCCAATGCAATAAGACAAGAAAGACAAATATGTGTAAACACTGGAAAGGAAGAAATGCTGCATTATTTGCGTATACTTACAAAATCTGAGAGAACATGTTGAACAATTAACTGAGGCAATGTGACTGTGGAGCACAGTGGCAGGGTACAAGATCAGCGTGCACACTGCGTGCAGGGGGCTGAGCTGCGTGCAGGGGCTGATACACAGCGGGTGTCAGTGTTGTTCGATCAGTGAGCCATGGGAGCTGTTCCTCAGCCCAGCGCCCATCCCAGGTCTCAGCTCCTCCCTTCCACTAGGCCTTGTCCCAGCGGGAGACTGCTGCCCCGGCCCCTGCCCTCCCCAGCACTCCTGTCATCCCCCTTGCAGGACCCTTTGAGGATGCTCTGAAGCTCCATGAGTTCTCGGTAGCTGCGGCGCCCCCTCCCTTGGAGGACCAGTGGCCCAGTCCCCCTACCCGCCGGGCTCCCATCGCCCCCACGGAGGAACAGCTGCGGCAGGAGCCCTGGTACCACGGCCGCATGAGCCGCCGGGCGGCAGAGAAACTGCTTCGAGCCGATGGGGACTTCCTTGTTCGTGACAGCGTCACCAACCCCGGGCAGTACGTGCTGACCGGCATGCACCTGGGGCAGCCCAAACATCTGCTGCTGGTGGACCCCGAGGGCGTGGTAAGGAGGGGCGGGGCCTGGGCGTGGTGGGGCGGGGCGTGGGGCGGGACCGGGGCGGGACCTGGACCCGGTGCTGGCTATGCACAGAGGGCGGGCCTGGCGGTAGGGCCTGAGAGGGCCTGGGGCGGGGCCTAGGCTTGATGCTGGCGGGTCACGGGGC